GGATAAATGGATAATGGATAGGAACACTATGCAGGAAGGTGAATGATCTACGTTTCTCAAATTTCCTTTGCATAATACACAAGATGTAAAAAGAAGATGAGGTTTAGCCAATCATCGGTATAACATGAAAATCAAATAATTAAAGCAAAATAATCATTCTTACAGCTCTTCATGGTTAATGTCAGGATGAAAAAGTTCGTATATAAAATCATTATAATAACTCTTTAAGGCTAGAATTTAGTATTTAATTAGATTTACAGTCAAACCTCCCTAAATGCATATTCCCTAAATGTATATTCCCTAAATGTATAGTCTCTCTAAATGCATAGTCTGGCCCCCAATTCATATAACACTTATAGATTTATACCTCCCTAAATGCAATACCTCTCTAAATGCAAGCTTTTTTTGCTGCCCATGGCCATGCATTTAGAGAGATCTAACTGTATTAAAATTTTATGAAAATTTTATTTTATTTTATTTTATTTGCCAATGCGCAGGATCCAAAATCTCATCACTAATCTATTTTTTTTAATAAAATATCCAATTCACATGTGCAATATGATTTATTCAATATGGCACTAAAAATAATCCTTATATTAATCTTTAACACAGTGACTAAAATAGTAACATGCATTGATAATTTTATAAAATAAAAAAACTTTGCCATTTAATTTGACGCTAGACTTTCGGTGTGTGAACTAAATGAATCTCTATAATTGCTTAATCGAAATAGCGCATGTTATTGTAAAGAATTCAAACACTATAATATTCGTATGTCTCTGTTATCATGTTCATAATATTCATTTCAATCTGACACATAAGTTAGACTATTCTTAAACATGATGTAGAACAAATACTGCATAAAAGAACTGCATCACAAACAGACGCGTTGATCAAAAATTTTAATACATAGTTTTGTTTTTTTCTAAAGTAACCTGACATCATGTATAGAAGCTACCCCTGTTAAAGATGCACAAATCAAATCTCAAAAACTGTCCATTTTGCCTATGAAACTACTTTCTACGTACTGGCATAAATTCTTTGCAAAATTCTGACATAACATAATTTATTTCGGCCATAACCTTACTCTAATGTGAAGTTTATTTAAAAACATTGCATATTCAATTGTTTGGTTAGTGTAGATCAGTTAATTGATGCATTTTTCACTGTACCATTAGGGCATCCACGTAGCCAGGCAAAGACATAAGGAATAGACGCATTGTCAATCTAGATCAAAGGTTCAAAAAAATTTTTCGGGGTTTACATTGATTGATTAATATGTTAATTTGGTAAGTAAAATCTAAATTTGGAGGATTTGTGCTCGAATTTTAGCTCAATTTCATGAATTCACCGTGATAATACTACTATACTATCTTTAAAAACTTTATATTTCATAGATTCATTATTATTTTATGCATTTTATATATTATAGATTGTAAATTTATGATTATTTTAAACAGTAAATCATTAAATATATATTACTTAACATGCTATTATTAACTCGTCGTATAACGACGGGTCTTACAGCGTTAATATATAACAATACTTGAACCGGAACTTTTCAGATTTTGCATCGAAAAATTTCTTAACTTTGCTCGTAATTTGAATTCATTCATTTTCTACATTTTTTACGTCAGAAGTATATATGCAGTAGAAATTATTTCGACATAATTTCTACCTGAATTTTGGCATGTGGCATTGCTTAAAGCTAAAATTCATGCATAAATAATGGTCAAAGCCTAAAGTCAAAATTAATGCTGAAGTCAAAATTAATGTCGTAAGTTCGAAAGTGTAATTGATATATCACTGATTTGATAAAATAAAAAAATTTACAATTTTAATTACGTATTATTAATAAGTGATGTAATAATAATAATAATAATAATAATAATAATAATAATAATAATGTATATTTTATTTAAATAATTCGAATTATAAATTCTTTATTATCTTTCATTTTACTGTACATATTATAGCAATAGTATAATTAATAATTGTCACGTATAAATTACATAATTGTACTAATATAAAGTAACTATCATTATTAAAATTTATAAGAGCCATTAATGACGTATTTATTCCGGAGTGTGACATAAATTATGGCTTGCGGCATTACTTCATACCGAAAAATCGGTGATGTATAGTCAGAAGTGCTGGATCGCTGGATTTTATTTATATTATCCATAAATTTTAACTATGTTATCCATGACCTGTAAAGCTGACCGGGTAAGCTCTAGTGATCTGCATATTGTAATTAATTGCGTATCGCAGATCATCAAAAATTATATTAAATCATCTTGATTTTTAGAAAATAAGGAAAGAAACAAAATCAGGAAATTTATGGTTAGTTGTTCAAAATTAATATAGTAACAATTTATTACACGCGTAGAATCTCAAAATACAAGCCTATGATTGACTATAAATTGTATCGTTTAATTTCTACTACTATTGTTATAAGCCTATTAGAATTAACTAAGTTACTCTTAACAAATAAAACTGATTATATTCTATATTTATTTATTATTACGTATTTACATTATAGACTCTATAACTAAAAATATATACTGTAGGTGGTTTCAGGTTTTGTGGAATTAGAATCTACTTATGTGAATTTTTATAATTTACTGTATGTATAATTTATCATAAAAAAATTGGTTGCTTGCATATTGAGCTTTTTTAATTCATTTTATTACTTAATTAATAAACTAGCTCTAAGTTAATTAATACTGTATTTCCCAAAATACAGTAAGCTACCTTTTTGAAGGTCGTCTAAAGCCAGGTATATAGTTTTTAAATTGATTACTAACAAATTTGTAAATTAAAAATCACGCGTCGCATATAAATTACTACCTGGCTTTAGACGATCCCCTTTTTTGGACAATTTTGAGCTTAAGTGACTTGTTTTTGTGTATAATAAGTTAAGAATTTTTTAATTAATTACTATTTTGGAATAAAGACATTTTTTAAGTTTTTAACCAAAAAAGAGGGCAAACGGTACTATTGAAAAAGTTAAAATTATCCAAGAATTTGGTTTTTTCATGAAAATAATATTGATTTGATAAATAATAAACATTACTGTAGATTAAATTGCACTTAGAAATTTAGTGTTTCAACCCGTCTAAAAAACCATGACCCGGGTGGATCAACGGGTCCACCCGGGCCATCGAGTAACCCGTTTGACCCGGGTGGACGATCACTTACTCTAATAAATTTTTAGAATTGTGCAGTGTTTTAAACTCCACTTGATTGTATTTTTTCCATTCATCCTTATTCGTTTTCTATCTAACTAGGGTCACAGAACTCTATCAACAATTTCTTGAATATTATCTAATCGATTGCACTCTCATTCTCTGTAGCATTAAATTGAAACTCTTTAATACAATCATCCATACTTGTCTATCCTTGTACAATCTTCTGAGGTTCGCATTCTGGCACCAAGCCTCAGAAATATTACATCAGCTTAAATTTGCACACTTTTCGTTTCTACTACAGTATCTCTTTTAGAGTTAAATTCGTAATATAACTTTTTTATTGCCCAATTATTATAGGATCGACGGGTTGATTCACGGGTGACTCCTGTCTGCATCCACTCGGGTGGCCATAACCGCAGCCTGGATATCCGACCCACCCGGGTTGAAACACTATAGAAATTACGATAGATAATAAAATAAACTTATTAATGTATATAATAATATCATCTTAAATAAATTCTTCGGGAATTTTTTTATAATAATTTTTCATTTTCATTTACTTCCATTTCTAGGATTAAACATTGTTCCGATAACTATAAGATTTTGAAATCTTACAGTATTTGTTACTATTATTACTGTTTTCGAATTAGCGCGATAGATGAATTTCGCGAATTCTATGAATCCTGCATATTACCATTGTGAAAACAATGGTAATATGCAGGATTCATAGAATTCGCGAAATTCATATATCGCACTAATTCGAAAGCAGCGATAATTTTGGCCAGTGTTAAGATAGACCGCACTATGAATTTGCTAATCGCTAACAGATTACAGTATATTTAGGGAGCTGTTTGAAAACAAAAATAATATTAATACTTCACTAGATTCATTTTATCCATGATAATTTAGCAGGTGAACAGTATAGGTAATTCACTTTTTTTAATAATGAAATTTTAGCAAATCGTACATAAGTAATCTATTAAGCTTCCGTATATCTGTCCTAATTTGTATTATCGTACTATTTTACTATATACCCTTTAAAGTGCTCTTTTTACCGGTTAAAACGAGCATTGTGTTAGGAAAATTATCACTTAATAAGTGATTATATTTGCTGACTATCGTTCATCTTTTATAATTACTTCGTATATGTTAATTCATTAAGATAACTTTCTTTTTGCAAATCGCACTATCTTAATTTCTGCATGTTCGTCCTGTATTACCATACTTATCTCCTAAACAACATATTTGTACATGTGAAATTTTTTTTGGATCATCAAAAGTTTTGCGGAGAAATCTGCAAAGGTCTTACAATCTCCACAGTTAAATGATGTTATTTCCATTCTCGAAGATAACAATCCTTAGAAAGGAATCTGAATAGTAAATCTTCCTTTTTGCAAGATTTTCGGATTTTCTAATAGACGATCCAAGCGATCAACGCGTTGTATTTTCAAATCACATAGATGAGTATAACTTATCACGCGCCGTGTAACTTTTTTTCTATTAAATTTCAGATCAAATATTCTATCCATGAATTCCAAAAGCAAATTTCCTATATGTTGTTAGTCACAATCAAGAAATTATAAAAAGTTCCCCGTTATTTTTTTTTTTTTTACGGAAAGCCTTTTTCTTAAAAAAAAAAATTTAATAAAAAAATTCATTTCAAACTTTCTGTTTTCTCTCAATCAGATCAAGCATTTGAAACCATTAAATTTCTAATGCTAAAAAACAAACCGAATATTATTAATAATAATTTTTAACGACAGAAACCAATATTTTTTTTTTTACTCATAGCTTTTAATTCTTAACATAATGCCAGAATCACAACTTTATATTCATGATTTAAAAGACTTTTCGAGACATGATAGGGATAGGGTCGCTAGAAGATCTACAGCGGTAAAGTCAGCACCAAAAATAGGGAATCCAACACCACTTGGTAAATATTTAATTTGTATTTATTATTTCATTACATCTGAAATTACTAACGAATAATTTGATTTACCATGCATTAATAAAAATAGGTCTTTCCGCTTTTGCTATGTCAACTTTTGTCGCTTCTTTTTATAGTCTAGGAATTTTCGGAGTTTCTGTGCCAAATGTTTTAATCGGTGTTGCATTCTTCACTGGTGGTGTTGTTCAATTTGCTTCCGGAATGTGGGAATTTAAAGTTGGTAACACTTTTGGGGGTACCGGATTCTCTGCTTTTGGTGGTTTCTGGGCGTCTTTAGGTGCTATTTATATGCCAGCATTTGTATGTTTTATTTTGATAAATCACATGATACGTAATTTATGTGATTCTTAAAATACCAGATTCACAATTCAATTTCTTTCACTAAAAAATAGGGTATTCAACAAGCTTATGGATTCATACCCGTTCCTACAAATGCCGTGTTAGATTCAATTGGCTTATGCAAAACCAATTGTAATTACACTGAGTCGAGTGGTATATATGCAGCAACCGATTACGATCTACTTACCCAATTTCACAATGCACTTGCTGTATACAACGCTGCATGGCTAATATGTAAGTATATTTTTTGTGTATATATATTATATATAAAAAAAAAAAATTAACTAATATGATTTCTTGTGATAGTCACGTTCATTTTCACATTGGCTTGTCTTCGTACCAATGCTGGAGTCTTGGGAGCTTTTGTTTCTTTAACTGTAGCATTCTTGGCTGATACTATTTATCATCTTACTCCAACTAATACTATATTTCTTAAAGTTGGTGGTGTTTTCGAATGTGAGTTTTTTTAAAAGTTTTAACCTTAAACCTTTAAAAAAAATATTCTTATCTAAATTTTTTTTTTTCTAATAAATGGCAGTGATCACTTCCGCCATAGTCTTTTACTGTCTAGCTGCGGTATTACTAACACCTGATCTCTCACCAGTCAGTCTTCCTTTGTATGATTTGAGCAAAAAAGATTAGAATATTCGATCTTCACTGTAAAAAAAAAAAAAAAAGATCACACATTCTTTTTTAATACTGAATTTTATATAATAATTTGGAGTTACTATAATTTTTTTTTTTTTTTTTTTTTTTATAATCTACTTAATTCAATAATGTGAAAACATAACCTGAATAGATTTCTTCACGTTTTTTTTCTTCAAATATTTTATACGTACGAATATAATATAATTAATTAGTCATAATTTGTTCATCTCATTCTAATGATAGTATTGAGATTTATTGAACCAACAAAATCGAAAATATAATAAACATGAAAAATAATTTAAAAGTCACACTCAAAAAAAAAAACAGTATTATACATTGGATTGTCTGGACAAAGTTATGGCAGCTTTGAGGTATTGAAAGAAATGCTAATAACTCAGAATTCTATTACAACCTGTATTAGAAAATTAAAAAGCGGTTAAATTTTAATTTCACATCTATTTTTGATATGGTTTTACAAGCTAAATAAAAAGTTGGGACATTGCTAGGATGGGATGGAAAAAAAAACTCGGGCAGTCATAATATACAGCACTACTCCCAAGTATTGTTTAAGTATAGTACACTATAAGTACATTACTGACAATAGCACTGATACAGTCTGACTAATAAAAATTCTTTAGTACATTACAAAACAGTGTTGTTAAATGACCTAAAAAAAAGTCGTAGATAACTCTTCATATGAATTGAAATGACTTTTATGTATAATAAATTTAAATGACTCAGGCCAATGACCATGCAAAATTAACAACTGTTACAGATACTGTAGCAATGCTCGAAATCTAATGTTTTTAATATATATTTTTAGGATCAAAAAAAAATCAAAATTTACGGTCATTCTTTGAGAACATAAAAGGTTTAAAATTTTTCTATTTCAATTATTATACCCAGTAATATTTTTAAATTTGTATAATTGCTTCTAGAACCATTTCTCTCTTTACATGAAAAAACTAGTATATATATACATGATATTATGTGTGATAACTTAGAATCTACCCATCTGTGCGTAAATCTTTTGACTAGGCCAAAATTTAAGTTAAGATTAAGTTTCAAATATTTTTTGGCCAATAAGAATTCATGTTTCCGTATATATTTGTAATCTATCATGTGAATAATATAATTGGTCACTGCGAAATAAATAGCTTGATTTATTAAAGCTCTATATACAGTAGAATATACTGTATACTGTACGTAGTACTAAAAGTTTTATTCTTGTTGCATTGCTAGTGATTATATAAAGATTACATTGCAATTTTAGAAACTCTGTGCCCTGTCTATTCGTGTTATTTTTCCAAATCGTTAGTTGGAAAGTCAACTAGTCGACAACTTCCTAATTAATCAATTTTATAATCGATTTGATCATCAAACTGATTTGATTACGATTCGTTATATAGTCATATAGCATATTAGTGTACCGCAAAATGGATTCGAGATTCGGGTTCGATCCGGATTCGATCTGCAAATCCGTAATTTGCAGATCCGAATCCAAAGAGAGATTCGATCGAATAATATTCGATTCAGATTCATTATTATTACCGAAATACACAAACGTCAAGCCTCTGATTTCTTGTGATCATTTTTGAGTTTTTTTTTTTTTTTTTTTTTGAAAAGCATATTAAATATTACTATTCGAACTAATAGTGCCAGATATCGAACTTCATCGAATAAATGAATGTGCAGCATATATAAATAGGATTGTGCGTGGGTTAAGAAGATTCAGGTGCGAATCTTGCTTCTTGTGAATGTAGCGCGTTTATTTCTTACCGTTATGCTGTTTTTTGAAATGAGGTTATGATTAGTACGTAATTAGTCAAGCTCCAAATTAAGTATTCATTAAATATACTTACCACATAAGCGCTAAATAACGCTCGTGGGCGTCATTTTGAAAATCGGGTGCTTCAAAATAACATATGGTCTCGAATTAGCACTCATGAGCGACCCGAATTAACGCGAACTCTATAAGTACAGAAGCGCACTTTCCCATAATGCACATAATTTGATCGGCCTAATGTAATTATTTATGAAATTTTTCTATTTTTTTAGGAAATTAAAATGTTTTGAGGGACATTTTTTAAGGTTAGGGTTTAGAGTTAGTTTTATTAATAAAAGATTATAAGTGGGTTTTATAAGCTTTAAAGGTGAGCAAGAAAGTTCCCCAGTTTCATTTTATTCGATTTCATTATGATCTGCGACATTAATTAGTGAAAAGAAATAAAAACAAAATAACAGATATTAATTCCGGACCATCACGTGATCATCCGGAGCGCAACCAGGTACACATTTTAACCGCAATAAATTTAAGCGCAGTAAATATTGAATTTAATCGGTATAAAATTTAAATCGATACATGTTAATTTAAAACCCAGAGGAATCATAAAGCGACATGCAACATATATATATTTCCATTTAAAGAAAATGCCGGCAATATCAGAAAAATCAAGAAAATTTCAAATATAGTGAGATGTGACTATTTATTCTTGCTTTTTTTCTTACTTTTTTTCTTGTATTCTATCACGTTTATCGGCTCAGCTAAACCTAGTTCCGTTACACGAGCTTCAACTTCCTTTACGGGTATCAGCTCGCCAGTGCTCTCGATGATGGCACATATATTCTCTCGATAGTAGAGGTGGTTCGCAAGACCTTCCTTCAGGTTTCTTCCCATATATTTCATGCTTTGTTCCATTCCATTCCACTTGAACATAATGCCACGAGAATCCAACATCAAAACAACCATCCCAGAATGGTCTACAAACACCGGGCGAACATCAGTTATACCGAAAGTTTCACAAAAGTACTCCTTATCTTCTGGGTGCAACAATTCCTCATCTGAATTTTCACGGTACCCGTAAGGACCATCCTTCAATTGTTCTAACAATTCAGATAACTCTGGCAGTTGCTGCATGGTGGCATCAATTCTCTTGTCCGTACTGATATTGTTCGGGATTTGATTTGTAGTTCTGGCCTCCACTGTAATAGGTAAGTCCATGGATTGGTCCTCCGAGCAGTTCCCGAACTCTCAATCTTCTAACCTTGGAATTATTCTCCTTCTCTGATCTCTCGGAAAGAGGTATGTGTCGTAAACTTCCTGTGACCTCTCGCTCTTCTTCGCCATTTTTTCGATGCATTCCCAGATCTGGGGTTGAAAATATTTAAGGAAATTCCTTTTTTTTGTTTTCGTAACAGCTAATATTTACCTTGTTCAGCGTCCATTCCCTTCTTAAACGGAGAAATGGCATAATAATGGTTATTGAAAGATTTAGTAGAGTTGTTCATTGTGACGCTTAGTATAATAAATATCAGTAAAAAACTTACGCAATGTTTCAAATGTTTTAAAAATGTTTTAAAGACTAATTAAAATCAGTGCTTCTATAATTTTTCGGTCGTACGGTGATTCATATTTGACTAATCAAATTGTGGCTGTCCATTCAAACTGTTTTTCATATGGGCATTTACATGCAGTGCTGGCCGGTGACCTATGTCATAGCATATGAATTTTGGTCATAGTCATATCGGTCATATTAAATGCTATATAATAAAAAATACTTTTTACTATGACTCTTACTATATTAAATAAAGGTCATACAGGTCATTTAGATCACTGAATAGCTGCCGCAACAAATTTGGACCGACAGATCCTCGATTTTGATTGGCTAAGAGCGACGAAAAAAAGATTAGGCCGGAATTACTCATAATTTTACTAATGAAA